GGGCGAATATCCTAGGAATATCGCCCCCCTTTTGAGAGGGGGGGCGAATCTCCTGGGGGGGGCGAATCTCCTGTGACACCGGCATTGAAATTCGAAAGTCGAATTTAAGGTGGCTCCATACACTTTTCATCATTGGGGGACTGGTACCTAATCTTCAGTTCTCGCGCGAAAATGTTAAAAATATATGCAAAAATAAATACAACTTTTTCAGTATAAAATCCGAACCACAAGTCAGTGGCGTAACTACTATGGGCTCAGACCGTGAGAACCCGGGGGCCCCAACCTAAATGGGGGCCCCCAGGCTTAGGCAATAGAGCAAAAACATTGGTCAGGGCCTCTGATATGTTACAATGTAGTTTTATGACCATCAGAATTCTGTAAAATCTCTCCCCAAAGTCCAGGAAATGGCATTTCAGAGAGTCTAAATTCAAAAATTTTCCGGATAAGCATGCCCTGGACCCCCTAGAAATTTCGTGCATATACGGCGCTCGACTCGTGCCTTTGACACTTCTACTAGGGGGGCCTTCGAAAATTTTGAACCGGGGGCCCCCTGATATAACGTTACGCCACTGCCACAAGTCATGTTTATTTTGATGTTTTGAGTCTTCCTTGTTCTCATTTGTTCTCAAAGAACAAACTTCGTCCTGATTTAGCTCTGAACATTGAATAACTAGTCTTTTTAGAAGACATTTTAAGGTAAAAAAATGCAATGTTCAACTTTCAAACTCTTGTGAAAACTGGCGATCGGCCCCGGACCGGCGAAAAGTTTTTTACTCCAATATTTGGCGATTTATAAGTTCATATCCAGAGTTTTTTTGTACTTACAACTGGTAAATGTATTCAAAGTGTTACTAACAGCAAAGGAATTCAGTGAAACAGCATCATGCGCCGGCTCAAACTGTTTTAACTTGTCAACAACAACATGAAAACACACAAGTTACGACTGAAAACGAATATAAAACTATGTAGAAAAGCCAAAAAGTTCATACATGTCACACATATCTTATACCAAACGACCGACAATCACCTGTTCTCTTGGCGTTATCCCGAGTTAGCATGAAAAACCAAATATATTTGCATTTCTAAGCAAGAAAACACAATATATATTTGATATTTCGACGAGACTAAAAACTTTTTTGTGCGTACGCGTGTTTTTTTGGAGATGCGCCTGCGAAAACATGTACGCGCATGTCAATTCATTGATCTTGCAGAGTGTGAAAAACTTTGGCCGCGCGGAATAAAACCGTGATTATTTCCAAAACGAGTTCGGTAAGGTACCCTGAAAATTTGTACATGAGTAGATACATGCTTCAAGATTTCATGATGGAAAAATAAAAAAAAATTGTCGACAGAAACTGTCAAAAAAGTCGAAATTTAATTCTAAAGAATTGAGTCGACAGATTTTTTTTAAACTTCCCAGAAATGTTTCTCGACACTAACGTAACTGATTTATTAAAAAAAAGGTTGGGGTCACCGAACTCATTTTTTAAAAAAACTCGAAAAACTGCGATATTTTCGGCTATTTAGTGTTGCCAGTATTCGTTATAGTTGTCATGGAAACGCGACTTTTATCAGAATTCTTCTTGTCTGTGACACGTCTTACTATGTGTTACAATTATAAGTAAAACTTAACCCTGTAAAAGCATTTAAACAGAAAATATTCAACTTTTGCTCCTTTGGCTAAAAAGTGTATTGAGCCACCTTAATTAAGAGATGAATGTTGACACACTACGTCTATGGTTACTAAAATTGGTCTAGTAGAACCAATGTTATATGCCTGTTTAAAGTGTAAGGGATCATCAAACCTATTAGCTTTATTAGCTTTGCAAATTTGAAAAAACCCTTGAGGGAATTTGCAATTTTCCTGTCGGCTGTTGCAATGATTACAACACAAAAAAACTTCCTTTCAAATTTTCCGAACTTCCTGTTCTATTCTGAGCGATATCATTGGCGGATTATTTTTGTTAGCCAATTATAACGCACAGAAAAGAACAGGACAGGACAGAACAGAACAGAACAGAACAGAACAGAACAGAACAGAACAGGAAGTTCAAGTTAGGAACTTGTAACAGGAAGTTAAGAAGTGAGGAAAGTTTATTTGGCTCTTAAGAACATTGCAAATTCCCTGAAGGGATTTGCAAAGGAGTTTTTCAAATTTGCAAAGGTAACTAGGAAAGTTGCAATCAACTTAGAAACTCAAAAGAGGAACGCTTGACGTAGTTTACCTGCAAAAGTCTTAACACAACTGATATGACGCTAGTATATAATACTGATGCATGATTTCAATGGTCCATTGGGTGAACCAGACTTTATTTTACACAGGCTGTCACAGCCATAAAATTGGTTCCACTAGACAAATTTTAAGCCCCGTTTACACTACGCTCAATTTTTGGTACGGTACGGATAAAATTGGTACCCGTACCACTTTTCTGGTTCTTGGACTACCTATTTAGGTAGTCCAAGAACCAAAAAGTGGTACGGTACCAAAAATTAAGCGTAGTGTAAACGGGGCTTAGCTAAATAGGTAGTTAAAGAACCAAAAAAGTGGTACGGGTACCAATTTTATCCGTGCCGTACCAAAAATTGAGCGTAGTGTAAACGGGGCTTTAGTTATCGTATTGTTAATATAATTGATCTCTTAGATTAAATTTTCGCCACCCACTAATAATTAGCTGTGTAAATAATTATATCTGAAACATGCCTATTGCCAACATCGTTCCCAGTCTCTTCCCTCTTTTTGAGGGAATAGCCTGGGAACGAGGTTGATAAACAGCCCCCCTTGCCCCCCTCCCCATTGCTGGGAGACTGAGGAATTATTGTTTTATCAGTAAATATTACCTGAATCTACTTAAGGTCTTCACAACCGCTCAGAAGTTGAAATAAAGTTAGGACTTATCGGAGGAGTGTTACATGTTCCACCATCAGTAACACAACAGAACGGAAATGACAACGGTGCTCCAAAATGGATCCCGGGTGCCACCACACTGCAAGGCGAGAGCGAACAGATCTTTGCCGAGGGCACTCGGTCTGATGATTTCGTACCAGACCAAGAGAAATCCACCACTTTATATTTAAGGCTGGTGGCCAGGGCTGACGATAACCCACCAGTATCAAATGAAGATCAATGCACCCCGTTAGCAAGAGAAACTCTCATTCCACCTCCTGTGGGAAACCTAGCAAAGAAGAATAGTAATAGTACATTCGAACTTGCATCTCTAGCAAAACGCCCAAAGTTTTCATGATATCACAATATCACGGTACCTTCTTTACTAACAACCGATGTTAATCTGGAGAGTGTTCCAGTGGTAAAAACAGACACAGTCAATCGATAGTATAGAGAGACGCCTGCAGAGGAGACTACAGCAGAACCCATGAAGTCATCCCAAGGCCTCCCATTTTCCAAAATGGGCAGTTCTAGATATAAAATGGGTAGTTGTAAAACTTGGCAGTCCTAAAATTGAGTTTTGGAGCTCTGTATGAGAATTATATAGATATAAATTAAGACTATTCATACAGGGATTTGGCAAAACCAAAACCAAATGTTTCTCCGAAACTATACAGGAAATTACCATTCTGGACTTCTAAATTTCAAAATTTTCCCGGAGTGTATGCCATCCGGATCCCCATAGCTATTCAGACATGCAACATATCTCCCATAGCTATTCAAGCGTGAGCTTCATGCGGCAATCACAACTGTCCTTGTTGAAATCTAAGAATTGTTGAAATTCTAATTTTTTCTTAGGATGACGCCTGGTCAAACCCTTGGTAAGGTCCAATCCTTAAACCCTGGTCGAACGCTTGCATGTGCAGCTGTCCAAGGTAATAGGGCTCAACCTCGTTCATAGGGTTTGGCTTCAGTAGGGCAGCGATTGCAAGTTGGGCCAAAGTTGTTTACACTCGCAAAAGTGTAGGTGACAAAGCAAGGTTTAGGGCAAGGTAAAAACAGATAACATTGTATATTAACTAATTATCGGACCAGAGCTTATTGATTATGTGTCGGCCTAAAAAGGGTTGTCGGGTTAAGAGAGGCGTCCGTAAATTAATAGGGGTTTGACTGTAGTCAACTTTGTCATATATAAATTGTACAGGTCGATTATCGGCGATGGAAGTTCCCTGTATACCATGTAGATATTGTATAACTTTTATACCTAACCGCTTTATATATGATATGGTTTTTTGTGTCGCATTTGATTGTGCAACACACAATTGCAAATTGATTCTTAATGACAATAATATATTTAACGCTGATCTGATCTAATTGTATAATTAAGTAGTGCATATGCTTGTATGATATAATTTATATAGATTTTTATGTGTCTTCACGCCCCCCTTGGAAATCAGCCCTCTCATGCTGAAGGGTGATCGCTAGATAGTATACTTCAAAATAAGGTTTCCGTTTTCCTAACACAAAACTAAACTGTCCTAACACAAAACTAAACCCTAATACTAACCCTTACCCTAACCCCAACCTAACCCTAACCTAAACCCTAACCTAACCCTAACTTATTTTAAAAATTGATACAAAAACGGAAACCTTATTTTGAAGTATACTATCTAGCAATTGCCCATGCGTGAAGGGGTCAGCGTGGGCACAGAATAAGGAGTAGAACCAGAAGGGACACTCCTTTGATGTTAGGCGGTCGCGCCGACATAGGCCTGCATACACCCGCGAGAGAGCGGCGGCCATGTTCTTAGGTAGTATAGTGTGAGAATTTTACTATAAACAATATGGCGAAAACCGCACTATGATTATTAAAACTGCTCCTTTTGGAATATAAGTGGACTATTTTCATCTGTTTTATGAATATATTGAAGAAAAGGTAAGTGAATTTTTATTTGTCAAGTCTGGTAGTGTAATTATTTTTTTCTGGCACAATTTAGTTGCGAGTTTTGCTCGGGAGTATGAAGGCTCTCATGACAGCTCATATCATATGGCAGTATGGCTCATATAAATGTTTTTTTTTAATAATTTGTCCAAATTATTTTACATATAATTGCAATTTAATAAATATTTACGCGAACAAAGTAAGAACTTATTTTAAAATAGAGCATATCGAACAGAAACACCGAAATGATTCACTTTATATATTTTGATAAATTTAAAAAATTTTCAAATGAATATTGGTTCTACAACTCACAAGTAGGCAGTAGCTGCAGAGTTTCCAGCTCCTCTCTAATAAAAGTTAATAACCCAAGTCCATGCTTTAATATCTAATTTATAAAGAATGGTTCTCCATCCACTTTTTATACCTGGCCTCTTACAAGTTTTCCTAGGTCATGTTAATTTAGACACTCTCATAAACACACCCAAAAAGAAATATATATATATTCTGCAAATTATGATGTCTTGCTGCAATAGAAAAAAGTTTGTAGTCTATAATGTCTACTTTAAGTTTATGAAACCAAAAGCATCCTATTAAAAAAAAGTAATTTCTTACCTTTCAGCATTCAAGGGAAATCGAAAAAAGCTTAGGGATTTGTCCCGTAATTTATTGTTGGAGCAGTTGACTGCAGATCAATGCAAGCCTGCAATTTTGTCCTTCTTAAAGTCATAATATGAAAATTTCTTGTATGAAAACACACTTATTGATGAACTGGTTACCAGAAAGGACTACCTTCAATTGCTTCAAATGAAGATGAATATATTTCTATATCTCTCACATAATATATACTTTACTCCTATTTACACAATTCTTACAATTGGTATTGTGGTTAGCACTTTTTTCCATCCAGCAAACCGCCCTATCGATTTCGTAAAGTCGTTTCTTTTTGGATTTTTTTATTAATTCAGTTAGGGTTAGGGTTAGAGTTAGGGTTGAGGCTGGTTAGGGATTAGAGTAGGGTTTGGGTTAGTTACATATAGCCATTTAACACCTCTTCTATCTTGCGAAAATGACGTCAGGTCAGTTTGCTGGATGGAAAATAGTGCTAACCTGGTATTTTAGGCATAACTAGAAGATTTTTGCATTTACAATACACATAGACATAGCAATAAATTACTTTCAATGTTGTAATACATAATTTTAAAACCAGATGATTCATCATCCTTTTAATTTCAAAATTGTTTTGCGTTGTGATTAGGCGGAGTCCGGGCTGTAACAAGATGCAATAATTGGGGGGGGGGGGCATAATAATTGGGGGGGGGGTGCATATTGATGTGTTAACATACCATAAAAGCAATCGATTTCAAAAGAAGTCTTATATTCGTCTGGCAGAACACATATATATGAACATGCAACCAACGCGCCCCCCCCCCCCCAAATTATCGCGTCTAGTTATGGCACTGCGAGGAAATGTGAAGGGGTAGTTCATGGCCACTAAATGTTTTAAGATGACCTAATGAAGGTAGTATATTAAAAATCAAACCTAACAAGAATGAGCTGAAACAATATGACTTGTCCACTCACATCAGGCACATGAAACCTTACATGTATTTTTTTATTTATTTAGCTTTGCCAACTAGGGTAGGGTCACCACAACAGCATATGCCAATTACTGTGGGCCCTTTTTACCTAACCCACCCTGTCAACTTTTCCTGTGGGAGGAAACCGGAGTACCCGGGGAAAACCCACAACTTTCAGCAGAGCATTGACTTTTGCCCTTTTCACATGAGGACTGGGTCCAGGTGCATTGAGAAGGTTCTCACTGAGGCTTGAACCTGCGGCCTCAGAGGTGAAAGGCAAGTGCGCTTATGAACTAGACCAGAGTCTATCAGGACTAGAGTCTATCGGTCTACCTGAACTAGACCAGAGTCTATCAGTCTTAAGCAAATCATATTAAATACTGCCAACCAAATTAATGTAACAACAACCTTTTTAAGTTTCTTTGCAATTGTAAACCTTCAATAGTCCCTTAATTTTTTCTCAATTTTCTGATTTTAAATGTCTTGTATATTCCAGTAACACTCTATAATCCACATAACCTTAAAGTTAATGTACCACTGACAATCAAAGCACATTCTGTAAGCATAGTCTGTGTCAATACAGTGATTCCAAAAATAATTAAGTATCCAATTGACCCAATATTGAGTTCTATGTGGTATCACTAGAACTCTGAAGATGCAGAAGACCTTTCAACATCTGCAAGACTGCAACCATCCCTGCATGAAGTTTAAAACAAATTATTAAAATTAACTTGATGAATGTATCCATGACTTGATGACTAGTGACTACTAGATAGTAACACATTTAAATAGCTAGACATATCAATAATTTCTTTATATAAGTTTATTTACTTTATCAATTTCATGGAGTGACTGTTTTGAAAGCTTGCTTTCCCCAATTATTGGAGTATGAATTACAAAAATGATTATTTGTCCCACAGACTCCCACTTTCAAATAATACACATAAAATACTTTGTATACCGTATACATAGTAAAATGATCAATGGCCATCAATAACCCGTCCAGGGAATAATTTGGACAATTATTAAAACAATAAAGAACTATTTAAACGTGCGAGAATCTACCAAAACATTTATATATTTAGCTGTCATGAGAGCCTTCATACTCCCGAGCAAAACTCGCAACTAAATTGTGCCAAAAAAAAATAATTACGCTACCAGACTTGGCAAATAAAAAGTCGCTTACCTTTTCTTCAATATATTCATAAAACAGATGAAAATAGTCCACTTATATTCCAAAAGGAGCAGTTTTAATAATCATAGTGCTGTTTTCGCCATATTGTTTATAGTAAAATTCTCACACTATACTACCTAAGAACATGGCCGCCGCTCTCTCGCGGGTGTATGCAGGCCTATGTCGGCGCTACCGCCTAACATCAAAGGAGTGTCCCTTCTGGTTCTACTCCTTATTCTGTGGTATTATCGTCCGATGTTTTCGTAAAACGCCCATTCAAATTTCGGTTTTTACGGCGGTATGTTTGTAGAGTTTCGACCCTGCTCATTTCACTCCTAGAGGGCTCAATATTTAAATCATCTTGGAGTATTGTTAAAAGTGCTGCTCGATTGTGCAAAAAACACTGCAAATACTTGAGGAAACTTTATATCATAATCATATCCCAATGTTCGCAATGCGACCCTCGCGTACGGCGATCAAAAACGTCCAGAATACTGCTTGAAAAAAATTTATATTGTCTCTTTCTGAAACATCACATCACGTGC